TCACCTGTATTGCAGATGTATTTTCAGAATTATCACATTGAATTTTGAGGCTCATCTATGTCCAGATGAACAGAATCAACATTTTGGGATTTGAGGCTCATCCCTCCAAATGTTTGCACCGAGTAACTTCTTGAAGTCTGGATGTTTCCTCCCTTAATTGCTTAATTTCAGTGCACAGTGTGTGGTGTACATGGGCTAAGTTGTGAAGTTTTGTCTAAAATACTTACAGACCTAACTGTACTTGACAAAATGCTTGAGTGGGCTTTTAGTTGAGCTTTCATTCCTGTCTTGCAGCAAGAGAACTCGCGCTGAAGCAGGAGGAAGGCAGGACAGTGATGTACACAGCCATGGGTGCAGAGTGGCGGCCCTTCGGCTTTCCTCGGCGGCGCAGACCCCTCAGCTCTGTGGTGCTGGACGTGGGCGTTGCAGAAAGGATTGTAGATGACGTGAAGGACTTCATTGGAAATCCCAAATGGTACACAGATAGAGGTAAAATGTTACAGGACATAACATGAATTTTAATCATGATTATAATGTCTTGATCACCACAATTAAAGGAACACAACTGAGTTATTATGAAAATGTTACTCACAGGGTCCTTTGCCCATTCTTGGTTGAAGTTGCTGACTTTCTGATCGCTTTATTGTTGAACATCACTTCCATTAAAGGTTATGCCCTTTGGATTTTTGCTGAAGGTCTGGTCCGACTCCTTACCAGAGTCTGTTCGAGAGTAGGGAAGGTCTCTAGAAAAACCTAATCAGAAAAATGTTACCGAACGTTTTAATTTGTCTACTTTGTAGAAGAATTTCTAGGGTTTTTTGCGATTAATCCTCTACTGATGGTGGTTGTTCACCTGTGCAGGTATTCCCTACAGAAGAGGCTACCTGCTGTACGGCCCCCCAGGATGTGGAAAGAGCAGTTTTATGTGAGTATATCCTTTATTCGGGTTTATTTTTCTTGCTGCGTACTCGTCGTGCAACCTCACCAATGCCTGTGTAACTTGCTGTTTTTTTCAGCACAGCGCTGGCTGGTGAGCTGGGCTACAGCATCTGTCTGATGAGTCTGAGTGACCGAACACTTTCAGACGACCGCCTGAATCACCTCCTGAGCGTGGCGCCGCAGCAGAGCATCATTCTCCTGGAGGATGTCGATGCAGCCTTTGTCAGCAGAGACCTGCTTCCCACTGAGAGTGAGCAGCAGAACCGATCAAACATATTTCTTTTTACATGTTTAAAACATCATATGTTCATCAGCTCCACTCTGTGGTTTTAAAACAGGCTGATATTCAGTACTGAAGCAACCTGTAAAGCTGTATTTGACCAGATTTGTTACATTCTGGTTTGAAGGTGAATTTTGAAGTCACTGAGCTGTGTTTTCTTCTGTTGCCTCTCAGACCCTCTGGCCTATCAGGGAATGGGACGACTGACCTTCAGCGGACTGCTGAACTCTCTTGACGGAGTGGCTTCATCGGAGGCTCGAATAGTTTTTATGACTACCAACTTCATAGACAGGTACTGTTGAAGCCAAGAGTGTTTAGTGACATTGTACCAACATGTAAACTGATATATCTGCTTCTAACGTAAAAAGCTGTAGAAAAAAAACAATTGAAGCAGTGAAGAGACTGAAACAGAATTAGAAGAAAATAAAAGACCCCAACAGCAGGTGGCGCTGCATACCAAGTGCAGGTTTTTATTTAAAGAAAAAAAAAAAAACGCACACGCTGTACAGCAGCCTACCTCAATAAAATAAGTGCAGTACAGGGATTGACATAACCAGTGTCCTGGGAAAAAAGGAGTAGTGCAGTGTGACACAGTATCAGAGTACATAGGTCTGATACGCATGTGCACAGTAGACCGTGTATCCATAGTGACAATTTACATACATTAATAAACTATAGCTGATCACATGATCAA